GCCACACTGCCCACGCGGCGGGAAGCCCCAGCGGCTGCAGCCCGGGCACGGGAGCAGCTCGTGGCCAGGCTCCCTCGCCCGCTGGAGAAGCTGCGTGCAGCGGGCGGGCAGACAGGGCAGCTGTGGCGGCCCAGGCCGCAGGCCTTCGCAGCCTGGCGAGTGGTCCTGGGCCGCGCCGTGGGGCCCAACAACTGGCAGAATGGAGAGCTGGGGTCCAGGCGGCCCTGTGCTGGACCCCGGGGGTATGCCAGTCCCGCTTGGCCAGGCCAGCGGAGCCCACGCTACCTGGAAGCTGAGCGTCCGGTGAGTGCCATGGCCTGAGGGCAGCCCCAGCTGTGCTCCTGATCAGCCTGCAACTTGTCTGTGCAGGGCTGGAGGGCATTTTGTGGCTGGGCAGGGCAGAGGCCAGGAGGTGGTTGGGGGTGATAGGGAAAGGCCATCCTGGCCATTGCAGCTGGTGCTGGGGCCACATCCAGCTCTGCCACTTTCTGGCTGCGTGGCCCCTCCTCGGGGAAGTCTCCAACAGCCTGCCTTGGAGGCACTGGGCGCAGGCCAGCACCCAGCAAGCGTGCCGTAAACTGGCGTTCTCGTGAGGGGAGGGGCAGTCAAGTGGAGCTGGCAGGACTGTCCTCTCTCTACCCCTAAACAGGACGCTTGTCCCCATCATGTGAAATTCTCCCTCCTGGCTGCTCCCCATGCTCATTTTAACCCTATTCTCCAGAACAGGGGTGGGGCTTTGCCCTTGGGGTACTGGGGAGGGCTCTCTGCAGGGCTTGCCAGTGTCCTGGCCCTGATGGCCCTGGGTCTGGGCTCCTCCCCTCGCCCTCAGGGTTCTAGAGGCCTGGGCCCAGTCGGTGGCCCAGGACGGTGTCCAGCAAGCTGCTGTCACCCAGCTCCAGCAGGCTGGGCTCGGGCGCCTCCTGCAGACCCACTGGGGCAGTGGGGACAGCCTGCTCAGAGTGTGGCTGGGACGGCAGGCTGGGGCCCAGGAAGCCAGTACCGTCTGCACAAGGTCCCAGGCCAACCTTATGCACTGGCTCAGGATGGCCAGCAGGGGGCACCTCCTGCTGCTGCTGGACACCCCAGCCCCTTGGAAGCAGGTGAGTGGCAGCCCAGGTGGGTGGGAGGTCACAGATGGTCCTCAGGCCACTGGCTTTAGAATCAGCTTTGTTTGGCCATGGTGGCTGCATGCTGGATACTTCTCCAGGGGCCCAGCAGCCTTGTAGACAGACACCACCCCTCCCCAGTTCTTGAGCCTCCTGGCTCTGCATGAACTCTGGATCCGAAAGCATTTGCTGAGCACCTACCCAGTGTCAGGCCGACGTGGGTCTGCTGCAAAGATAAACATGCTGGGGCCACAGTCCCTTCGGGAGACAGACACTTAAATTCATTACATATCATGGTGCCGTCTAAGATCAACATAGGTACATAAAGACAATAGCGGCCGGGTGCGGTAGCTCACGCCTGTCATCCTAGCTCTCTGGGAGGCGAAGCAAGGCAGGTGGATTGCTCAAGGTCAGGAGTTTGAAACCAACCTGAGCAAGAGCGAGACCCCGTCTCTACTATAAATAGAAAGAAAGTAATTGGCAACTAATATATAGAGAAAAAATTAGCCAGGCATGGTGGCACATGCTGTAGTCCCAGCTACTCGGAGGCTGAGGCAGCAGAATTGCTTGAGCCCAGGAGTTTGAGGTTGCTGTGAGCTAGGTTGACGCCATGGCACTCACTCTCAGGCCTGGGGCAACAAAGTGAGACTTGTCTCAAAAAACCCAAAAAACAATAGCAATGTTTTGTCCAAGATTTTTTTTTATATTAGAAAAGTGAAATATGCCCTACAGATAAATCAGGAAGTATAAAGTTGGGAAAAAACCCCAAATTTCTTTTATAACTTGCTCCACCCAAAGGAAACTGTCAGTCCCTCCCCACACCAGAAGCGGGTTAGCTCCAACACCGCAAAGGGTGGTGGAAAAGTCGATGGCCTGGCGGGAGGAAGAGGCCACGAAAGTCAGGCACAAATGAGCTGCAAGACGTAGCAGTGGAGGGACACAGCCCGAGATCCCAGCAGGCGAGACAGTGTTCCTAAGATCAATTGCATCATCACAAATCCTATTCAGAATGCCAGAAAGAATATAATCGATTTGAGAAAGTCCAAAAAAAAAAAGTTATGACGGTTTTTGTTTTTATAAATGGAATTGGAAGACCCTAGCTTTGCCACGTGCAGAATCACATACGTAGGGCTGTTGGCAACAGCGGATTCTGGGCCCTCAGGGTATTTGATTTCTAGGTATTGTGTTACGGGCAATCTTTTTTCAAAGCACTTTATACTTTCATTCCATTCCTGGTCAGCAGAGACAAAGATCCCACACACTGATGGAGAAACTGAGGGCCTTCTAAAACTGAATGCAGGGCAAGGTACCAGGGGCTTGATTCCCTCCTTTCTGCCGCAGTGCGCACACGCCCAGGCAGCCTCACCTGCTGACACATGCAGGCATCAGGCCATCTTGTGGTGACAGAGACCCTTGGAGAGCCCTTCTCTGTGTAGAGTACCAGCCGGGGCTTGGACTCCAGAGTCAGAACACTTCCGGGAGGTCAGGCCTCCGACAGGCAATTCAACTTTGTGAAGTCCAGGCGGGGAGAATTCCCAGGCTGCACCCGGCACAGGGAAGCTCTCGCCGAGTGGTAGCTATTATCGGCCACTGTCTGCTTGAATTGTCTTCAGACACACAGGGCGACGGGGCAGAGGCAGTGGTGTGTCCCACTGGCCACCCTACTCTTGGGCACCTTTCTCCGTCTCCTGCAGGAGGCTTGGGGACCATGGGGACACGAGGCAATGTGGACCATTCCATTTGTGCACACACAAGTAGGAGGCCCTGCTAACAGGCGCAGGGCAGGAAAGGACAACCCCCACCCCCTGGCCGGGCCCCAGGAGGCCAAGCCTGCTGCGTTCAGGTTTTCCTCTCTGGCTGTTCCCTCAGACCCGCAGTGCTGGACACAGGCCAGAGGGCCAGTGCCGTCCAGGCCAACACTGCAGCACAGCCTCAGTGGACCGAGGACGCAGAGGGAAACGCCCTGGGCTCAGAGTAAGGAGACCTTGCTCGGGGTGACAAGTGCAGGGGTGAGGTGTCACCAGCCCTCAGGGGTCTAGAGTGAGCCCCTGGCAAATTGGTCTTACACATATTGACCGTTTCCCCACCCATTTCCTCTTAAACAGCTGTTTTGAGAAACACTTGGTTTTCCTGCCCACCCTGCTAGTTCTGTTTGGGCAGCAGCCTGGAGCCATGGGAGGCTCAGATGGGGGGGGGGGGCGATGCTTGGCGCTACACCTTTGTGGACCCTCTTCGTTGCTCTCAGCTTCTGGGTACATGCCAAGGCGCAAGCTGCCTTGCTGGACCAGTGTGTTAACCTCTTCTGTCTCCACTCCCCTCTCCAGGCTGGCTGCAGGGGCCCGACTGCTGTAGCTTGGCCCCAGGCCTGCCCCCAATGAGACCAGGAGGGCACCACAGTCCCGAACCCAGGGCCTTCAAGCCAAGGTTGGGCCCATAAAAGGGAGCTGGGGTAAGAGCAGCTGTGTATGGGCAGGCGGTGGGCGAGGGCTGAGCCACGGCCCAAGCTGGGCCCTTCCTGGCCAGTGCCCACAGCTGCGGGGTCCTGGAGGAGCCAGCCAGGCCTGGGTTCTGCATCTTCCCGTTTCTAGAAGCCTCAGTTTCTCCATCAGTGTGTGGGATCTTTGTCTCTGCTGACAGGAATGGAATGAAAGTATAAAAGTGCTTTGAAAAAAGATTGCCCGTAACACATACCTAGAAATAAAATACCCTGAGGGCCCAGAATCCGCTGTTGCCGCAGCCCCACGTATGTGATTCTGCACGTGGCCAAAGCTAGGGTCTTTCAATTCCATTTTATAAAACAAAAACCGTCATAACTTTTTTTTCTTGGACTCTTTCTCAAATTGATTATATTCTTTCTGGCATTCTGAATAGGATTTGTGATGATGCCAATTGATCTTAGGAACACCGTCTCGCCTGCTGGGATCTCGGGCTGTGTCCCTCACTGCCACGTCCTTGGGCTGCGGTGCAGCATCATTTGTGCCTGACTTTCGTGGCCTCTTCCTCCCGCCAGGCCATCGACTTTTCCACCACCCTTTGCGGTGTTGGAGCTAACCGCTTCTGGTGTGGGGAGGGACTGACAGTTACCTTTGGGTGGAGCAAGTTATAAAAGAAATTTGGGGTTTTTTCCCACTTTATACTTTCTGATTTATCTGTAATGGGCATATTTCACTTTTCTAATATAAAAAAAAAATCTTGGACAAAACATTGCTATTGTTTTTTGGGTTTTTTTGAGACAAGTCTCGCTTTGTTGCTCAGGCTAGAGTGAGTGCCGTGGCATCAGCCTAGCTCACAGCAACCTCAATCTCCTGGGCTCAAGCAATCCTGCTGCCTCAGCCTCCCGAGTAGCTGGGACTACAGGCATGCGCCACCATGCCTGGCTAATTTTTTCTCTATATATTAGTTGGCCAATTACTTTCTTTCAATTTATAGTAGAGACGGGGTCTCGCTCTTGCTCAGGTCGGTTTCGAACTCCTGACCTTGAGCAATCCACCTGCCTTGCTTGGCCTCCCAGAGAGCTAGGATTACAGGCGTGAGCTACCACACCCGGCCGCTATTGTCTTTATGTACCTATGTTGATCTTAGACGGCACCATGATATGTAATGAATTTAAGTGTCTGTCTCCCGAAGGGACTGTGGCCCCAGCATGTTTATCTTTGCAGCAGACCCACGTCGGCCTGACACTGGGTAGGTGCTCAGCAAATGCTTTCGGATCCAGATTTCGTGCAGAGCCAGAGGCTCAAGGAGAACCGGGGAGGGGTGGTGTCTATCTACAAGGCTGCTGGGCCCCTGGAGAAGTATCCAGCATGCAGCCACCATGGGCCAAAACAAGCTGATTCTAAAGCCAGTGGCCTGAGGACCATCTGTGACCTCCCACCCACCTGGGCCGCCACTCACCTGCTTCCAAGGGGCTGGGGTGTCCAGCAGCAGCAGGAGGTGCCCCCTGCTGGCCATCCTGGGCCAGTGCATAAGGTTGGCCTGGGGCCTTGTGCAGACGGTGCTGGCTTCCTGGGCCCCAGGCTGCCGTCCCAGCCACACTCTGAGCAGCGCTGTCCGCCACTGCGCCCAGTGGGTCTGCAGGAGGTGCCAGAGCCCAGCCTGCTGGAGCTGGGTGACAGCAGCTTGCTGGACACCGTCCTGGGCCACCGACTGGGCCCAGGCCTCTAGAACCCTGAGGGCGAGGGGAGGAGCCCAGACCCAGGGCCATCAGGGCCAGGACACTGGCAAGCCCTGCAGAGAGCCCTCCCCAGTACCCCAAGGGCAAAGCCCCACCCCTGTTCTGGAGAATAGGGTTAAAATGAGCATGGGGAGCAGCCAGGAGGGAGAAGAATTTCACATGATGGGGACAAGCGTCCTGTTTAGGGGTAGAGAGAGGACAGTCCTGCCAGCTCCACTTGACTGCCCCTCCCCTCACGGGAACGCCAGTTTACGGCATGCTTGCTGGGTGCTGGCCTGCGCCCAGTGCCTCCAAGGCAGGCTGTTGGAGACTTCCCCGAGGAGGGGCCACACAGCCAGAAAGTGGCAGAGCTGGATGTGGCCCCAGCACCAGCTGCAATGGCCAGGATGGCCTCTCCCTATCACCCCCAACCACCCTCCTGAGCCTCTGCCCTGCCCCAGCCACAAAATGCCCTCCAGCCCTGCCACAGACAAGCTGCAGGCTGATCAGGGAGCACAGCTGGGGCTGCCCTCAGCCCATGGCACTCACCGGACGCTCAGCTTCCAGGTAGCGTGGGCTCCGCTGGCCTGGCCAAGGCGGGACTGGCATACCCCTGGGGTCCAGCACAGGGCCGCCTGGACCCCAGCTCTCCATTCTGCCAGTTGTTGGGCCCCACGGAGCCGGCCCAGGGCCACTCGCCAGGCTGCGAAGGCCTGCCGGGCCCGGGCCCGCCACAGCTGCCTGTCTGCCTGGGCCCGCTGCACGCGGCTTCTCCAGCGGGCGAGGGAAGCCTGGGCCACGAGCTGCTCCGGTGCCCGGGCTGCAGCCGCTGGGGCTTCCTGCCGCGTGGGCAGTGTGGCTGCCAGCGCCCTTGTCCTCGGGCCATCCTGGAAGTCTCGATGCTGGGCCTGGTTCGCCCCTGGTGCTCTCACAACCTCACGCCAGGCCTGGAGGTAGCTGCAAAACGGGCAAAGGAGCGGTCAGCCAGCCGCCCCTGTGGGGACACTATGAACACTTGCAAATTCGTACTGAGCTCTGGGCAGAAGCGTCATCTATCCCCTCTGCTTAGTTTTAAAATGTGCATGAATGAGCTATCTGCTTGTTCCCAGAGAACGTCCCCATCTAAATGAAGAGTTCGCTCTCCTCTCTCGGCAGCAGCGGCAGGATCCTCCGGCACCACCACCTGCGTCAACACGCGCCATGGGCGGACGTCTGAGGAGTCGCTTTCCCGTCTTCATTGTATCCCCTGAGACAAAAGGACTCACCTGGCCAGGAGCTGGAATTCTGGGGCTTGTTAGGGCCAAAGGCTAAGGTTGGGGTTGGCTACCACCCCCAAAACAAAGAGGTGCTGGTGGTATGGCCCTCCATCTCCAGCCTGGGGTCTCCCTTCACACCCCTTCCCTTCCTGGGCCCCAACCTCCAGGGCCGCCCTTCGAGCTTCCCACCCTCTGGGCTCTCCGTCCGCCCCAGGTCCGCCCACCTCTGCAGTAGCAGCTGCTCTGGCCGGGCCGCCGTGTGTCTCCGATGAGCCGTCGCCTGGCGCCAGCCCTGGAACACGGCCCTCCGCAGGCCCTGGTGGCGGCCCTGCACCCACCTCTGGTACCTGTCACGCAGGAACTGCTGCCCTGGGGCCAGAGAGGTGCTGAAGTGCCAGTGGCTGCTCATTCCGGCCTCTCCCCTGTGCCCTGGGTCCCGTGGCCTCTGCCTCGCCAGCCCTCTGCCCCACCCAGGTGGGAACCGAGGAGGCCGCCCCGCTGTCTGGGTTAAAACGCTTCCATTGCAAGTGTCCTCCTGGGGACCAGGCCAACCTCGCTCACAGAGGTGTTGGGGTTTTGTTTTTTAAAAATTTCTTGACAACATTTAGGAATCAAGAGAATTCAGAGAAAAATCTAGATTTTCAGTTTTTCTTTAAAAACTAGGTCTGGCAACACTATGGGCAACGACTGGGCTGAAGAAGCGACTGTCTCCAGTGGGCAGGACACGGGCTTTCTAGAACAATCAAGACCCAGCCTGTTAACACAATGCACTGGTGCAGTGGGCAGCCTCCAAACGGCCCCCAATGGCCCGCTTCCTGGGGGTCACGTCCTGCACAATGCCCCCCTTGAGCAGGGACTGGATTTCTTGACTTGCTTCTAACAAATAGAATTCGGCAGCAGTCATGGGATGTCACTTCTGATAGTGGACTATAAAAAGACTAGCTTCTGGCTTGGGCACACTCTCTCACTTCCCCTTAGGTGGCTCACTTTGGGGGAACCCAGCTGCCATTCATGAGGCGGCCTGGAGAGAGGCCCACAGGGCAAGGCCTGCCCACGACCATGGGAGTGACCTTGAAAGTGGATGTCCCTCCCCCACTGAGCCTCCAGATGACACTGCAGCCCTGGCCGACAACTTGCCTGCAGCCTCGTGGGAGACCTCGAGGCAGAGGTGCCAGCTAAGCCACACCTGGACTCCTGCCCCACAGGAACTGTGAGACAGTTAAAGGCTTGTGGCTCAAAAGCGACCACGTATTTGGGGAATTTGTTACACAGCAATAGATAACCAGTGCAGTTGATCAGCGAGCCCTCTCCAGCTCTGACCCTGACTTAGCTGGGTGTAAACTGAGGTACAAAGAAAATGGCTTGTTCTTTATGCGCGGAGGCCGGGACCCCAGGAGCAGACCTGTCTGGGAATAACCCTCCCCGCGTCGCCGGCCACACTCCTCAGGCCTCTCCAGTGACGTGCAGCCTGAGCCAGCTCAGCACACCTAGGTCCTCCCGCTCCCCCTTGGCCGGTGCCATTCCCGCCACCTCCGCCCCTCTCCCCGCTGCTCTGCCCTCCTCCCGCCTCCTGGAGACCCCCACTAACTCCGCCGGGCTCTAAGGGCACCTCGGCTTGCCCACTTCTCCCCCACTCAGAGCTCAGACCAGTGGCTCTGGGAGGCCAGGTGAGGATGACGAGGATGACAAAGATGAAGACGAAAGTAACGGTGACACCTACCAGGAACTGAACGGGGAGTGTTGCACGGGACCCCCACAGTGACCCTGTGGGGCGGGTGCTATGCCATCCCCCCTCCACGGATGACTCGCTGGTGAGCAGCGAGTTTAAGGTGCACACGGCTAGGGGACGGGAGAGCAGGGACTCTAACGCACCCTGCGGAGGCCAAGCCCGGGTCTGCTCTGCCAGCCCAGTCCTGGGTGTGCCCCGGGGGTCCCACCCCCGCACTCTGCTACAGGACATGCCATCCTGGGTCTCACCAATGGCCCTGGCCCCTTCCTCACCCACAGTGCCCCAGACCCAGTGCTCGACTCACTCAGCCAGCGGGAGCGCCACCAGCACAGGGCGCCACGCGCCAGTCGCCAGCCCCGCTCCTGAGCCCACCGCTCCGCCTCCTGCCACTGCGCCAGCCGCCGCCGCCACAGGCCCAGCGCAGCCCTGCAGCTCCGACCCCAGGCCCAGCGGGCAGCCAGCTCTCTCCGGGCTGCTTGGGCCGTGGCCCAGTGGCTCCAACTGAGGAGGACGCTGGGAAAAGGAGTGTCCACCCTGAGGATGGGCACTGCCGCCCAGGCCAGCCCAGCCCTCCTCTCCCCTCCCCTCAGCAGCAGGATGGGGCGCAGGGTGACTCTTCCCTCGGTTCCCGTCATGGGGGACGCTGGATTGCTGGGGACTGCAGGGGTCCAACACCGCTCTGAGGGTCACATGCCAAGTGGTGGGGATAGGATGGGACCCAGGCCGCCAATGACCAGTCCTGAGCTCAGCCACTAGCCATAAACATTGCTATGACCCAGTGCTTGCTGCATGCCACGCACTGTGCTGGGGATGTCTGTGCCCCCACATTGCTGATGTCCATCGCAGTGAGTGCTTTATTACCCCCATTTTATTTTATTTTATTTTATTTTATTTTATTTTATTTTATTTTATTTTATTTTGAGACAGAGTCTCACTTTTGTTGCCCAGGCTAGAGTGCCGTGGTGTCAGCTTAGCTCACAGCAACCTCAAACTCCTGGGCTCAAGCGATCCTCCTGCCTCAGCCTCCCAAGTAGCTGGAACTACAGGCACGCACCACCAGCTAATTTTATACACACACACACACACACACACACACACACATATATATATATATATAGTTGGCCAATTAATTTCTTTCTATTTATAGTAGAGACGGGGTCCTGCTCTTGCTCAGGCTGGTTTCGAACTCCTGATCTTGAGCAATCCTCCCGCCTCAGCCTCCCAGAGTGCTAGGATTACAGGCGTGAGCCACTGAGCACGGCCGGCCCCCATTTTACAGACAGAGAAACAGAGGCACAGAGAAGTTAAGTGACTTGCCCAAGACCACACAGCCAGTGAGGGGCAAAGCTGGGATTAGGACCCAGGCAGGCCCACACTCACACATCATGCTAGGACATGAATACATGAATGAACCACAGCTGTGAAATCTCCGTGAGGAAGCCTGACCCTGCAGAGTGCCTCACCCCCGCCCCCTCCCGGGAGGACAGGAGGAGTGGAGTCTGGGGCCAAGTTGACGAGGGTGTGAGAGGGGAGCCCCCACCCGGATGGGACGCAGACCCCGAGGGGCCGCTGCTGTGCAGGCCGAGGATTGCTGGGAGAGATGGCCAGGGCCCAGCAAGTCCACAGAGCAGTGGGCAGCACGGCTCACCCGACCTGGGGTGGGGGTCCCTACCGCCGCTGGAGGGTGTGCTCGCTCCACCGCACTGCGCCCCAGGACTGCCAGGCCAGCACCTGCCGAAGCAGAAGCCACAGCCCCTGCTGCTGCCCAGCGGCACGGACAGCTCACCCGGAGGGTCTCCAGGAGCCCAGGAAAGAGGCGTGGGGGCCCTGGGTCTCAGGATCCCTGTCCCCAGCCCCGTCCCCATCCTCTCCACCCACCTGGCCCTCACCTTCTCCAGTGAGCTGCAGGGTGTGCTGCGGTGCAGCGAGGCCGGTCCTCCCAGCACGCTGCCCGGTGGCTCCAGGGCCACGGCCATCCTGACACAGCCTGACGGGGTGCCCGGGCCCCACGCCCGCAAGCGCCACCGCCTCAGCACGCGCTGCATCACCCGGCGCCGCACGCTCTGGAAGAAGGAGCTGCGGAAGAGGCAGGGAGTCCCTGGGTCCCAGCCTCGCTGCCAGAGAGCGAGGCCACCCACCTGCCCGCTGGGAGAGCCGGGCCGCAAGGGTGCTCGCCGTGGGCCAGGCGCTGCACTGGCGCTCCGCACCGCCTCGCCCACTGGCCGCTCGCTGGGATCCATGGGGGCCGCACGACATATCAATGCCCACCGGGGTGCCACCCCCAGAGATTCCGACTTCACGGTCTGGGCTTCTGGACTTTTCCAGAGGCCCTGGGTGACTCTGACGAGCAGCCAAGGCTGGGCCGAGGCTCTGCCCCATCACTGGCTGGTCCTCGCCACACTCCCGGGCGTGGTGGGGGCCACGCAGCTGACCGGGTGGGGCCGAACCAGGCCCAGGGACCCCGGACTCCGGAACCCACGTGCACAACCACACCAGTACTTCTGCCTCCGTTATAAAGATCAGAAAACCGGGGCCTGGGGAAGGTTATCTCCCCAGACTCCAAACAGTGGCAGACCTGGGTGGGACTCGTCTCAGACTAGCAGGGCAGCCCGGGTGCACTGCAGGAGACACCCCCGTGCCCTGAGGCCTGAAGGCCGGAGGCTGGACCAGGGGAGGGAGGGCTGTGCTCTGAAGGATCATACTGAACTGGGTTCTCCTGGAGTTCTAGGAGTGCACTGAAAGAGACTGAGGGTCCCAGTGGACCAAGTGGCTGTGGGGATCATGGATGCCAGGTGTGTGGTTTTCAAGGACAGAATTCTTTATATATATATGTATATATATATTTTTTTAATTTCAGCATATTATGGGGGTACAAGTGTTAAGGTTACGTGTATTGCCCATGCCTCCCTACCCCCTCAAGTCAGAGCTTCAAGCGTGACCATCCCCCAAACGTTGCACATCTCACTCATTGTGTTTGTACATACCCATCCCCTCCTCCCAAGGACAGAATTCTTAACCCTGCCCCCACTGGCTTCCGTTCCTCCTGACATGCCATCGGGGAAGCCCACCCCTCCCCCCTGAGCCCACCCTGCCCTCACCACAGCCTCGGCCTGGCTCTGACCCCAGCAATGACCGTTCTGTGCAAAGGCAGCACCAAGAAGGTCTTGACTCGGGGGCCTTCCTGCTCCTGGTCCACGCTGCGACTACAGCAAGCTGCTCAGCCCCTCTGAGCCTCGGTTTCTCTACTTGTGTAATGGGGCAGACGGGGCGGGGGGACAGAGCTCTGCTCCCGGCTCCTTCCCTCACTTGTTTGTGGTACTTACTCTGTGCCTACGACACCCAGGCACGGGCTGGGGGCCGCAGAGGGGCGGGGGGCAGCAGGGAAAGCCAGACGTGGCTCCTGCCACAAGGGCTGGCCTCCGTGTGGAGACGGCACCTGCTCAGGTTCCAGCCACCTCGGTAGAGCGCCTGTCTGTGTCCTGGGCAGCCCCGTGGCCCCCCGCAGCTCTCTACCCAATCAGTCTCAGTGTCCCTAGGCCGCCTCCTGGGGCCTGGCTCCTGCCGGCTCCACAGTGTGCCCCGCCCCGTGCTGGGCCCGCCCCATGGCCCCCGGCCCAACCCTAGGTCACAGGCTCGGGGACACCTACTTGGCCCGCTGGCGCTGGGAGAGCCGAGTCCTCCAGAGCAGCAGCGCCCGGCCGAGGGCCAGTCTCCCGCAGGCTTCCTGCAGGGAACCCCGGCCTCGCTCCTGGGCCAGCCTCTGCGCCTGGGCCACTGCCCCCAGGCCACTCGCCCTGGCGGCTCCAGGGGCTGAGCTGCGGAGGGCCCTGAGCCCTGAGAAGCAGTAGGGGGCAGTCAGCCAGGTCCCCACCGACCCTCCTCTGCCCGGAGCTGTCGGTAGCTGCCGCCTCAGGCCCCCGTGGGACCTCTGCCCCCAACCACCGTCTCCAAGACCCCCTCCAGGAGGCCTCAAAGATCCCATCTTCCCCTGTCAGGCTGTGGGGTGGGGGCAGGGCTGGGTGTCCCCCATCAGAGCAGAAGCTTCCCAAGAGCAAGGACAGACACACCCCTTCCGGGGGGATGTGAGATGATCAGGGAGCCTGCAGGGGCAGGAGATGAGACAAAGTCTCTCTCGCCCAGAGCAGCTTGTGATGGGGGGTGGGGATGTGTCCCAGCCAAGGCCTGCCCACTCCGGGGAACCCTCCTGGACCCTCCTAGGCCCCCAGTTCTACCACCTCCCAGGACAAGGATCCACACATTCGACTGGGGCCCGCAGAGGAAGGGGCTCGAGGGACACAGTCTGCTGGGGTGGGAGCCCCTCACCCATCATTTACGCACCTGCCTTCTGCAGGCAGAGGGACAGCTGGGTCACCTTGGCCCCATCTGAGACCTGGAGCTGTTTCATCTGCACCCACCGTCCCAGGCACGTCCTCAGGATCCCCGCCCGGCGGTCAGCCAGGTGGTTCCGGTACCGGGATCCTCTTTGCATGAACCGCTGCCAGGCCTCAAAGCACCTGGGAGAAAGTACCCAGGCCGAGCATAAGGACCGATGGCTGCGGGTGCAGCCGCCGCCAGACACACTGCCGAGGCCTCAGGCAAGCCACCGCCTCTCTGAGCCTCCGTTTTCTCATCTGGGCTGCTGTGAGGATGCATGGCGTGCCACCTGCTCAGGCCCGACACCATCACCTGCGGGCACCTGGATGGCCCCAGCAGCCTCCAGCCTGGCCACTGGCATCCACGCTTGACCCCTCCTGCCAGTTCCCACTCGGTAGCCAGAGTGGTGTCCCCCCAATGTCAAGTCAAACCGTCCTCCTCTCCTGACACCTCCTGGGGCAGCAGCTCCCTTGCTCTTGTGACATTTCAACCCCTCCGCCCGGCCTGCAAGGACCTGCAGGATCTGGCCTCACGGACCTTTCCAGCCCCCACCCCCACCCCCGCCCCCAGCCTGGACTGACAAGGCTGCAGCTGTCCCTGGAGTGCGCTGCCCCCAGGGGCCCCGCTCCTCCTGCACACCCTGCTGGCAGCTCCCTGTGCTAAAAATTCCTGGGCGGAAAACTAGGCTGGGGGATGGGACCAGCAAAAGGCCGACAGTGGGAAACTCCAGCAGACAAGCAACCTGGTTTCCTCAAGAAATAAAAGGCAAGATAAACAAAGGGAGGGAGCCCATAGACTGAAAAGACTTTGACTCATTGACCAGTCTCAGCGAGTGGATCTCCATTCCAACTCTGACACGATATACACGGAGAAACAACTGGAAATTTGAGTAGTGACTGGATGTTTGTGGGTGTTAAGGGATTATGGTTCATTTTTTAGGTGTCAGAATGGTATTGTGCCTGTTTTTTTTTTTTAAAGAGTCCTTGCCTTTTAGAAATGCACATAAAAGTATTTAGGGATGAGACGGTGTGATGTTTGGGATTGGGAGGGGACGCGTTGGGGGCATATGTGAACAAGCTTTCCTAGGAGGCCGGCTGTGTTGAAGACGGGTGGTCGCACACTGGGGATTAGTGTCCTCTCCGCTCCACTTTTTTTTTTTTTTTGAGACAGGGTCTCACTTTGTTGCCCAGGCTAGAGTGAGTGCCGTGGCGTCAGCCTAGCTCACAGCAACCTCAGACTCCTGGGCTCAAGCCATCCTCCTGCCTCAGCCTCCCGAGTAGCTGGGACTACAGGCATGCACCACCATGCCTGGCTAATTTTTTTTTCTATATATATATTAGTTGGCTGATTAATTTCTTTCTCTTTATAGTGGAGACGGAGTCTCGCTCTTGCTCAGGCTGGTTTCGAACTCCTGACCTTGAGCAATCCACCCGCCTTGGCCTCCCAGAGTGCTAGGATTACAAGCCACTGCGCCCAGCCACTCCACTTTTGTGTAAGATAAAAATGCACCATAATAAAACTTACACCACCAGGGAAAAAAGGGCAGAGATCTGTGTTCCTTCCCGCTATGACACTCAGCCTGTGAACGCTCACTTCTTGTCTGTTCCCCGACTGGCCACGGGTCCCGACCGTGGGGGGCAGAGGTGGGAGGCCGGCGCTGACCCATGCTATGGCCGGCGCGTCCCAGGCCTGCCGGGCAGCCTCGTTCATTCCTTACTTGGACGCTCGTCTCTCAGTGCTAGGAGTCGGGAGCTGACTTGCAGGGAAGGGTCCCTACCTGCACAGCCAGGCTCTCTGCTGCTGGGCGTCCACACGGGCTGCGTGGGCAGCATGATGGTGCCAGGCCTGGGGGGGCCTCCCTGTCCTCCAGGTCTTCTGTGTGGCCCCCCTCTCCTGCCTGGCCTGCTCCTTCTGATGGCACCACAGGAGGAAGACTGCGGAGAGAGGGAGGAGAGAGAGCGAGCGAGCAAAGGGGAGGATCAGAGCCAGCAGGGGCTACTGACACTTGGGGCTCCAGTCACACCCATCCCTGGACCTCCCCATCTCTGGTGCCTAAGAGACATCTGGTTCCAACACTCAAGCCTCTGCTGTGGGTCTGTCTCAGTGTGTCACTCAAATGCAGGTGGGCACACTCATGCTGCGTGTCCTCAAGCTAGTCCCTCAACTTCTCTGTGCCTCAGTTCCCCATCAGTAAAATGGGCACAGTTTTAAAAATGGGCACAGTAAAATGGGTCCTCGTGGAGGTCGTGTCTGGGAAGTTGCTCATTCGCTCTGGGCTCCCCTGTCCGGTCCCCACCTGGTAAGGGGCTCAGCCACCTGGCCTGCCTCCATCTCCCTCCCACTCCCCCCCAGTACACACCACCTCACCAGCCAGTTGCTGCAGGGCCTGCAGCGTCTGGACTTTCCCGTCTTCACCGTCTGGCCTCTGCCCAGGACGTGACAGCATGTGCTGGGCTCTCTCCTCCTCCCTCGGACTCCCTGGGCTAAGGCTGAAGCTGCCGGACAGAAACCGAAGCCTGGCCGAGGGAGGTGGCGTGGTCCCTGCCTGTCCACCCCTCGCCAGGGGGTGCTGTCTGCCCTTGGGAGCCGGGGTGCTGAGCCCCCACTTCCAGACATTCATTTTATCCCTGATTATAAAAGCTATGGGGGGGGGGCAGTTCTGCTTTGCTTTATTTTCTTCAATATTGTTTGGATTTTTTTTTTTTTTTTTTGAGACAAAGTCTCACCTCTGTTGGCCCGGTACTAGGGAGTGCCGTGGCGCGTCAGCTAGCTCACAGCAACCTCCAAACTCCTGGGCTCAAGTGATTCTGCTGCCTCAGCCTCCCGAGTAGCTGGGACTACAGGCATGCACCACCATGCCCGGCTAATTTTTTCTATATATATTAGGTGGCCAATTAATTTCTTTCTGTTTATAGTAGAGACGGGGGTCTCGCTCTTGCTCAGGGCTGGTTTCGAACTCCTGACCTTGAGGCAATTCGCCCGCTCGGCCTCGGCCTCCAGAGAGCGTTAGATTACAGGCGTCAGCCACGCGCCCAGGCCTGTTTTTCTTTTTTTAGGGATAGGGTCTTGCTCTATCTAGCCGGGGCTAGAGTTGCAGTTATACCATCATAGCTCTCTGCAGCCTCAAGCTCCTGGGCTGAAGCAATCTTCCTGCCTCAGCTTCCTAAGTAGCTGGGACTACAGGCTCAGGCCACCAGGCAGGCTAATTTTTCTTGTTTTTTGGAGAGACGGGGTCTTACTATGTTGCCCAGGCTGGTCTTGAACTCCTGGCCTCAAGCAATCCTCCAACCTTGGCCTCCCAAAGTGCTAGGGATTATTTTGACCTTTTTTTTTTTTTTTTTTTTGAGACAGAGTCCTACTCTGTCACCCTGGCTAGAATGCAGTGGTGTCATCGTAGCTCACAGCAACCTCAAACTCCTGGGCTCAAGCAATCCTCCTGCCTCAGTCTCCCAAGTAGCTGAGACTACAGGTGTGCGCCATAAGGCCCGGCCAATTTTTTCTATTTTTTTTAGTTGCCCAGCTAATTTTTTTTTCTTCTATTTTTAGTAGAGATGGGGTCTCGCTCTTGCTCAGGCTACTTTCAAACCCCTGGGCTCAAGCAATCCTCCTGCCTCAGCCTCACAGAGTGCTAGGATTACAGGCATAAGCCACTGCGCCCAGCCTCATTTTGACCATTTTTAAGTGTACAGTTCGGTAGTGTTAAGTATATTCGCATTGTGTAATATTTTAGTACTTGTTTTCCTTTTAGTCCTTTTTCTAAGCACTGTTTTACATGTTTGGTAAAAAATATTTTAGATACTATTTTTATCCTCTTCTTTTCTTATTTAACATTGTCATACCATTTTATTCTTGCCTTTAAAAATTCTATGCAAATACTCATAAAAATACTTCCAAAGGGGGGGGACGTGACGGGTGAAGCTTTCCAGTTGATTAACACACTTCTATTTTTAATGTTTTTTTCAAATTAAGCATGCATTACTGTTATGATTGGAAATAAGACCAATAAAGATATTGAAAAGAAAAATAAAGGAAAAAAAGAGTGGAAAGGAATTTTTTGAAAGTCTTCTAAACATCCTATGGAATGGTTGCTCCATTGTTCATTACGTGGTCAGGCCCTAATATCCTCACTCACTGTTGAGCATTTAGGCTGTTTCAAAGTTCTTACCATCATAAACGATGCCGTATCTATATATATAAATATGTTTAGTGGCCATTTCGTTTCTTTCTATTTTAGCTAGAGACGGGGGGGTCTTCACTCTTGCTCAGGCTGGTCTCGAACTCCTGAGCTTCAATACTGATCCTCCCGCCTCAGTCTCTTCTAGCATGTGTCGTAGGGATTACAGCGTTGAGCCCACTGCGCGCTGGTCAAAGCCTGTGGTCTTAACCACTGAACTACCCTGCCTTTGGGAATGAAGGAATGAATGAATGAAGAAACGAATCCCTGCAGGCAGTGCTTTTCTTGGGAGATAAAACCTGGGGCTGGGCCCTCTCAGAGCAGCCTTTTTCCAGGGGCAGCTGAACGATGGACGTACCCTTCCGTGTCCTGGCGCAAATTTCACTAAAAAAAATACAACACTTGTATGTAGAATGCCTTGCAGGCGTGCTAGGCAGGGTCGTGGCTCCCTTATTTATTAATTAATCTCACTAGCAACCCTGATATCGCCGGAGTAGCTGGGACTACAGCATGCGGAGCCACCATGCTGCCGGCTAATTTTTGTCCTAGTATGATATTAGTGGCCAATTAATTTCTTTCTTTTATAGTAGAGACGGTCTCGCTCTTAGCCGCAGGGGCTGTTTCGAACTCCTCTGACCTTGATGGCAAGCGCGGCGCCCGCGCCCGCCCTCGCCTCCCAGAGACTAGGGATTACAGGCATCGCCACCGCGGCCCGGCCTGTTTTTCTTTTTTTTTTTCAGGGCATAGGTCTTGCTCTATCTGCCGGGCCTAGAGTTGCCAGTTACTACCATCATACTTCTGCAGCCTCAAGCTCCTGCGCGCTGAAGCCAACTTCCTGGCCTCAGCCTTCCTAAGTAGCTGGGACTACAGGCTCAGGCCACGCGGGCAGGCCTAATTGTTCTTGTTTTTTTGGGAGGAGACCGGCGTCTTACTATGGTTGCCCAGCGCTGAGTCTTGAAAGCTCCTGGCCTCAAAGCCCAATCCGCCAACCTTGGCCTCCCAAGTGCTGGGATTATTTTGTGACCTTTTTTTTTTTTTTTTTTTGAGAACAGAAGTCCCTACTCTCGCTCACCCTGGCTAGAATGCAGTGCGTGTCATCGTACGCTCACAGCAACCTCAAACTCCTGGCTCAAGAATCCTTCGCCTGCCTCAGTCCTCCAAGCTAGCCGAGACTACAGGTGCCCCGCCATAAAGGCGCCGCGCCAATTTTTCATTTTTTTTAGTTCCGAGCTAATTTTTTTTTCTTCGTATTTTTAGTAGAGATGGGGTCTCGCTCTTGCTCAGGGCCTACATTCAATAACCCCTGCGGCTCAAGCATCCTCCTGCTCAGCTCACAGAGTCTGAGGATTACACGCCATAAAGCCACTGGCCCGCCCCAGTCCCTCATTTTGAAACCATTTTTTTAAAAGTTTTGTACAGTTTCGCGTCAGGTGGTTAAGTATATTCGCGTATTGTGTGAAGTATTTTAGTACTTTGTTTGTCCTTTTAGCCTTTTTGCTAAGCACTGTTTTACAGTTTGCCGTAAAAAGATATTTTAGACTGATCTATTCTTTATCCTCTTCTTTCGTTATTGTAACATTGTCATACCATTTGTATTCTTGCCTCTTAAAGAATTCTATGGGCAAAGACTCATAAAATATACTTCCAAACGGAGGGACGTGCGGGGTGAAGCTCTTTTCCAGCATTGGACGTTAACAGCACTCTGTATTTCTTAATGTTGTCTCTTTTCAAGATTAAGCGATGCATTAGGCTCGTCTGGTGGGTGTGATGATTTGGAAATAAGACCAATACAAGATATTGAAAGAAGAAAAATAAACGGAAACAAAAGGAGTGCAAAGGAAGTCTTTTTTGAACAGCTCGTTCTAAACATCCTTGATGGATGGCTGCTCCGAATTGTTCATTACCTGCGTCAGGCCGGCCTAAGCTTCACTGAGTCACTGTTTCAAGCATTAGGCTCTCTTTCAAAGTTGGCTTACCATCATAAACTGATGCCGT